AGTGAGTGAGTGAGTGAGTGAGTGAGTGAGTGAGTGAGTGAGTGAGTGAGTGAGTGAGAGAGAGGGTGCATGTGGAAAGGGCTGGGTTTCGGACTGTGTCCTCTGGCTTGCTCATGTTTTGAAGATCTCTCTGCTCCTTCCTCTTCCCTGGAAAGGGGTGGCGGTTGCCCACTGCACTCATATCTGAGTATAATCCATGTAGGACCTACATCACAATTTGTGCATGTTCAAGCACAAACGCACACTTGTTCATAATGTTTGCTGTGCTGACCTGTAGTTTTGTGCATTATTATCAACAAGTTTGTTCCCTGTTCCTGTTGCTGGTCTTGTTGCTGTTTGTGTTATCTTTTTCTGTTAGTTTTGTCTCGTAGTAGGTGTTTGTGACCGTCTCTCCCCAGTTTCCCCATGGAGGCCTTAGGAGGATTTCAGTAGGAGCTGGTTGTTGGGTTTTGTTACTTTGTTCTATATATCTCTCTGTATTTGTGCTTTTTGTTACTGCAGCCACACTCTCCCACAACATTTCTCCCCCAAGTCATATTTGGCATTAAATCGTATATAACATATTAAAAGCAATAAATAAGTTATCAAAGGTTGGGCATCAAAGGATCAAAGGTGGATTTATGATGATAAAACTCCAATTCAGAAAAGCAAATCACTTTGGCATTACTGTGGCAGTCAGAGAGCCATTTTACTTGCCATTATGCAGGACAGGAAAAGGGCAAAAAATACAAATGAATAAATAAAATAGCAGCATTGGCTCCTTGTGCTTTTCAGTATTGATTTAGGTTTCTTTCATGAGTTCACAAATGTCTTAGTGGTTTGGCCCTCATTGTTCATCTGACCTTTTAAATTGTGACCTTCCATAAATCCTGAGGTCTTCTGGAACTGGCCTTTCACTGTTTCTTATTCCAACAATGACCTATTTTCGTTCCCTGAGGAGGTTGAATTTCATTCCATCGAGTGTGATGAATTGTGTATTTTTGGTTGAGGTACAAGGTTGTTAGAATTTGTGGATTTGTTTTTACGTTTTGTTTCCCTGTGCCTTCGTTCCCCATCTTTTATTCTGGTTCTTACCCTGTCTCTCTATCATCCTGTCTTCCCTCAGGTCTTTCCTGTGCTGTTCTTTCATTAATTCCACTATCTTCATCTGTGCTCCCTGACAGTTCCTGATAGATCATGGTGGAGCTGACTTTGGAGGATGCTAACCATTAGGCATTTGAAAGTAATAAGCTACGATATGGGGGTCTGGTTGCAGAGGCAGACCAGTGAGATCCGAAAATAAATGTATATCCCAAGAAAGTCGTTGCAAAGGAGAGGATTATCTGCTCTGACTGAACAACGCAGTCACTAGTTGGCAGTCACTTGTTGTCAGTATCATTGACTGGAAAATGAATACTTTAGTAAGTAGAAAAAGCACATCCAAGTCAGTTCAGCTTGTGTTGGGTCATCCAAAACTGGCATTGTCTGAGGTGTGCTAAATAGCCAATACACTCAATGAAAGTAAGGGGACTAATTGATCTTGAATACCAAAACTCTTGTCTAAATGCAGAGGCACAGGAAGGTAGACAGTACTGCGTGGGGGAGAATGCAACCTAATCTGGGCCCTCTCCCTGATTCTACCTTCTCTGCCCTATATTTCCTCTTTTCACTTACAGTTCCCATTTGAATAAAAAAAAAAGAACAACCATGCACATCCCCATACAGGAATCATTAGAGACTGAATTACTCCAATCTACTTGTACAATATGTACATTATATAAAACGTATATAGATGTAAAAATATAAAGATTTTAATATTCAAAGTTCTGCTATTTAATGATGGAATAGTTAGTAAAAATCACCTCTGACTGTTGTCAGCTCCAGCCATCATGTAGTAGAACACATTAAAGGTGGATTCCTCTTCAGGTCGTCTGCTCACTCTTATTTTCTCAAGCAACATTGTCTGATAATAAAGATACAACACAAATGTATCAATGCATTTGAATTATTTCAATCAAAGTTAATTTCGAATAATAATAATAATGTGTTATGTTTTCAGTAGCAGGCAAAGAGCAACCATGTGCTTTCTATTTTTGAAGCAGTGGACCAGATTTGCCAGCTTTGTGTATGATCAAGATACCTGGATGGAGGCGGAAGCCACTTGCCCAGCCTGGTCAAAGTCCAAAGACACTATATGAGAAAAACGGCTGGCATTTGTGTTCATAGCAGAGGGGCTGTTGCCAAAAGCTTCCAATATGGTGTACACAGCGTGCCACTTCTCAGCTATGTCACAAGGAAAAAAAAACATTTTCAATGATTAGTTATAGAAAGGTTTACAACAAACCAATCAACGATCTACTTTGACTTAAGTTCTGCTCTGACTTTTGATTTTTATTTTATATCTGACAAAAATTTCTATACATTCTTGTGCAAAGTTATCAAATCTGATTGCATGCTCAGTTTACTGGTTGATTTTATTTTTTTGCTATTACCACAAGTTTTAAACATACAGTAGTTTTATGTCTTTCCACGGCTTCATGTTTCAAAGAAAGCAAGCTGTTCTTTCTTTGGCTACTGCCATTTGGTTCAATCTGTTCTGTAGAAGAGACCATGCAGACAGACGTTTTCGGGGATGTTTTTACAACTGAGTCTGTGTTGCAGCACATCTCATGCAGGTATTAGAGTTAGATATTTTATAACTCCCCTTTCTGTTCACGTAATGTAACATATCTCTCCGGAGTCAGAGCAGCTCCCTCTCAAGAAAAGACTTTTGTCGATCTTTTGAAAATTTCTCATGAGAGAATTTGCAGCTCAGAAAACCTCTGAGTATAATTGGAGCCCAATCTCCCTTGCCCAGACACAGGTCACCAGGGTACCCCTCTCAAGTCAGGCCTGAAGATACACAGAGGGTGGTGGCCATGCTTTTGCCCATGAACCCCAGTTAGGCCCAGCCTGAAAAAATGACATAGGCCCACCAGCAGAAGGGGCAATAGGGGTAAGGAACAGTTTGGCAGTGCAAAAGGTGAGGAAACAGGCAGTCTGATCCTCGTCTGCAAAAGCTCACTCCTGGAACATGGAATGACACCTCTCTGGTAGGGAATGACCTTGAGCTAGTGTGCAAGGTTTTAGCACCCACTTCTAGCAAGGAATTCCTCATACTGTTGGGGAACTCCAATGCTCACATGGGCAACAACAGTGAGAGCTGAAGGGGTGTGAATTGGAAGAAAATCCACCTGAAATCGAGTCGTGGATTGGTGTTGGACTTCTGGGCTTATCATGGATTGTCCATAACAAACACCATATTCAAGCATGAAAATGTCCATATGTGCACCTGCCATAAGGACACATACTTCAATGATCCAACTTTTTAAATGTATCGTCAGACTTGCAGCTTTAAATCTTGGAAACTTAGGTGAAATGAGGGACAGAGCCACCACCTGGTGGTAAGTTGGCTCGGATAGTTGGGGGAAGTTATGGGTCAGGTCTGGCAGGCCCAGGTGTTGTGAGGGTCTGTTAGCCTCTGGCAGTGTCCCAATTCTTCACTATTGTCATAGTGATGATAAATGTAATATTGTGTCTACTCTGTAAGTCGCTTTGGATAAAACTGTCTGCCAAATGCATAAACATAAACATAAAGAACCAGACCGCCCCCCCCTCCGTCTGAGCAACAACCATGTGCTTTCTATTTTTGAAGCAGTGGACCAAAGCTGTGGCCGTAAAGTTGAGGTCAACCCATAGTTCCTTGAGGCTTTCTTGGTTGATACGACTCTGCAGTATCGCATCAACATCAGGGGCGTTGCCCCACGACTGGCAAACTGCAGTGATGCCATCCCTCTTCAAGGAGGACCGGAGGGTGTGTTCCAACTACAGAAGGAACACACTCCTGGTAAGGTTTATTAAGGGGTCCGCTACACACCCTCTTCAGGGTTTTGGGGGGGACATAGAAGTTCCAACCAATTGTGGACTTGGGGAAGGTGCTCGACTGTGCTCCCCGGGGACATCCTGTGGGGGATGTTCCAGAAGTATGATATACCAGATACTCTTGTATGAGCAGTGCCAGAACCTGGTCTGCATTTCCAGCAGTTAGTTGGATTCATTTCGAATTAGGGTTCAACTCCACCAAGACTACCCTTTGTTACGGATTCTGTTCATAACTTGTATGGATAGAATTTGTAGGCTTGCCGAAGTGTTGGGGGTTTTCAACTTGATGACGTCAGAATTGAGACTCCAATTATGTGGTTCTGTTGGCTTTATCAGGCTTAGAATGGAAAGAGGAGCAGTTTTGGAGATGGGATTCCAACCCAGACAGAACAGAAGTCATTTTCATTTAAGTAATCACACAGCATTTTAAGTGTTTTCAGGTATATTCTCATTTGTATTCTATGAAAGCTTACCAGAAAATATTTTTCCAGTGCTACCAGCAATGGTGACGAGGTACTGGACCAGGTGCTGACAGTTAGTGGTTTTTCCACTGCCAGACCTGCCTAGCAGCACAATAGACTGATCCTGTCGGGTGGTGAGTAGATTGCGGTAAGCTGACTGAGCTACAGCATAGATATGAGGAGCACAGTCCTCCCGCCGATATCCTTTGAACATGTGCATCACCTGTTGATGCAGGAATAAAGTGTAGAGGGGAAAAAAATATCAAAGATGGTACATGGCAGAACATACATGTAATAAAAAAAGGGTTAAAATAACAGTTACCAGCAAAACAGTGTAAAGGATGTTGGGACTTGAATAAAGCTTGTCACTGGGTTAAATACATGCCTCAACATGCCTCAAAACATGTCCAGAGGCCAAAACATCCATAGGACGCAGTCAACCCCCTCACTCTCCTGTACAGCACTGTCTTCTATCTCTGTATTCAGACACCAATGTAGCCAAGTAGCCCTCACATCTCAAGTGATGAAAGTTCAGGAGAGACTGGTCTTAACCCACCTGAGGCCACAGGTCAGTGCTGGACCCTCTGCAATTTCATCCCACTTCAGAATTTGGGATACTGTCATCTACCTGCTGCAACAAACTAATCTGCACCTGGATAGTAGAGTGGAGGAAGTTCTATGAGAATCCATCCATCCATTCTTCACCGCTTATCCGGGGTCGGGTCGCGGGGGCAGCAGCCGGAGCAGGGAAACCCAGACTTCCCTCTCCCACGCCACTTCTGCCAGCTCCTCCGGGGGGATCCCAAGGCGTTCCCAGGCCATACGGGACACATAGTTCCTCCAGAGTGTCCTTGGTCTTCCTCTGGGCGTGGGACGTGCCCGGAACACCTCACCAGGGAGGCAACCAGGAGGCATCCTAATCAGATGCCCGAGCCACCTCAACACTTTTTATTTCTCCAGTGCTTTTTACACTATTCAGCATCAGGATTATAACCTGTGGGTGATGGGTGTCAACAGCTCAGTGATCTCCTGGGTCACTGACGACCTGACAGGCAGGCCGTTTGGGCAGTCTTCTGTCAGATGTGGTTTGTGATACAGGGGCTCCACAGTGGACTATGCTTTTTCCTTTTTTCTTTACCTTGTACAGCCCCTCAGTACAACACAGTCATGCCACCTACAGAAATTCTCGGATGACAAAGCTGTCATATGTATAAGAGAGGAGAAGGAGGGGAAGTAAATTACACTGGTGGATGGATTTGTAGACTGGATTGAACTGAACTATTTGCCGCTAAACATAGGCAAGACTAAAGAGAAGATGATAGACTTCGAGAGGAAGAAGAGGCCTACAGCCTCCACTGATCAGATGAAAGAAGGGGAAAGCTCAGATCTTTCAAATGTAAGCAACAAGATGTTAAGAGATATCTCCCTCCCTCTACACATATGACAGTCAAACTCCATCACATCATTCCGAGTCTCAATTCAAAACCCATCCGTTCAAACTGGCTTACTCACTATAACCCTGGACACTGTGCATTTCACTTGTTTTTATGTTGACTCCTTGTTTCAGTATTGTATTTTAATCTTACAGGCTTTTATTTGTCGGGTGACCTTGGGTGACATGACAGGTGCCTCCAAATGAATAAAATAAATTATTTTTATTATTGTTGTTATTATTATTATCTCATATTATAATCTTAGTTGTGTCTACTCGTCTATCACTCACTTTCTCAGAGTACATGGAGGGTGTGCTGAGAGGGTTAATAACCACGATGTTGTGTCCAGCGTAGGAATGTAAAAGGTAGCCTCCGTAACGCTGCCTTAGGCAGTGCATCACACTAGATTCATTCAGATAGAGAAGTGAAGCCAGGTCCTCCGAACGATTGTATGATGGAGGGTTAGCCTAAATATGATGAAAAGAATTCAATGATTATACAATATTTCAAATATATATGTATCAACACTAAATACATCATATACAGTTGTATGATGATTGTTCAATAAATGGCATGGTTAAAAGAGAATAATAAAATACATTGTTGTGCAAGGAAATGTAATCTAAAACATACAGCACAATAACTTCTTACAATCTTCTACATACCTTTTCAATGTCATCTTCATCCACATCCAGGATTGTTCTATCATGTTCCAGCATGATTTGCACCTTTCCCTCTGGCAATGAGCCAGCCTTTGTTTTAACTACATTACCTGGAAATAGTAAATGCAGAAAACAACAACAGCTAAAAGCCTGTTCAAAGTATTTCTAGCTTTAACTGAACCAGTAAATGAAAGCTCTAATATTCAATACAAAGAAGTTAATACTGGTGTCAAAATGTACTTGCTATGTGAAACTACAACCCCTCAACTATCAGCTCACTACATCAAATGTCTGGCATATCTTTTTCTGAAGAGGTGAAGCTCTACCTTTTCTTTCACTGAATAGTTCATCCTCTCTGAACTGTAAAAAACATTTAAATAAACATTGATACGCCGTAAAACAATCCATCCATCAATCCATCCATTATCGTTACCGCTTATTCCCTAATGGGGTGGCGGGGAGAACTGGAGCCTATCCCAGAGGCGGGGTACACCCTGTTCATACCGCCAGACCATCGCAGGGCCACACACAAGGACAAACAACCAAGCACACTCACACTCACTCCTAAGAGGCAATTTGGAATGTCTAATCAACCTAACATGCAGGTTTTTGGATTGCGGGAGGAAGCCGGAGAACCCGGAAAGAACCCATGCGGACACAGGGAGTGCATGCAAACTCCACACAGAAGACCTTTCTGTGTGGAGTTTGCATGCACTCCCTGGGTCCCCAGAACTCAAACCCAGAACCTTCTTGCTGTGAGGCGATGGTGCTAACCACCACCCCCGCCCCCGTAAAATAATGACATTAAAAATATGTAAGAAGGAAAAACAATGAATAAGTCTATATTTAAAAGGAATATATTGTATAAATGAAAAAAAAATGAAAAAATGTTCATTTTACAGTCAGTGTATGTGAAAAGGGTCATATTTATTTGTAGAATTGATATGTTACTGTATTATAAACATAAAAAATGTTAACATAAAATACTTGAACCAACACAATACAGTTACATTTACAATATAGTTGAATTAAATAGTATACCGTTTTATAAATTCAGTTGTTGTGATTTCCAGTAAAATTCTTTAGGCCTAACTCTGATAACATGAAGAAATTGAGAATCAAACATGTTTAGAACTGAGATCTATAGGCTAGTAGAAATGTCATGGTCAAAAACAGCTCTTATGTGTTAATCAGGTCCCTATTATACTTATTAGAATTGCTATTATAATTATGTTAAGGTTATAATATTATTTTATCATGTATTTAGTGTTTTAAGTTTTGTTGTATTGTAAAGGGTTACAGTTTTACATTGTAAAATGTACAGGTTGTTCTGTAATGTGTTTTACAATCTGCTGTATTTTTTACAATATTATTCTGACAACTACAGCTGCCAGTTTATTTCCGTAAAAAACAAGCGTTTTTTCCCATTATAACATTCTTGACACATATACATGATAATTCCTTTGTTAATATTTGATAACAATCTACATTAATAATATATTTCCATGTCCATGCAGGCCTTAAAGCCCACTTCTCGTCACTATTTGAAGTTATCGGACAAAATAGCGACCCCAAATGTCGATGTTAACATTTCATTCATGCAAAGCTCATAATACTCCAGCAAAATGTCAAATCCCTTTTGAACTTTGTATTCAAAATAGGACTTTAAGGCTTACTCTGTTATTAAAGTAACAGAGACATTTTTGTATTGGTTAATTTCTATAAAAGAAATTTATGTTTTTTAGTCACAAAAATAAAATACTCTTAAAGGTATTATGTTCCCCCAAAAAAAAGAAAACGTACCTATGGAAAAACCATCTTTATGCATAAGCCAGACTTTCTCTGATCCATACCATGCCTGTTCTGCTTCAATCTGTTCCTCTGTCTTCACCTGAAATATAAAGGATTAAAATTAGTGTGAGAAACGCTAGTTGAAAATGACAATATATTTATTTAAAAAAACATAATTCAGTGTCAGACTCATGTGGATGAGATCACCAAAATCTGACTTAAAATGATAAAAATACGGTTTCATAAAAATACATTTATTGTTTAAATAAAAAGAACTGCAAAGCACTTTCAGTTTCTGAAGAGAATGGGAAGTTAAGTTCCAGAGGCACACAGTGTGGCACTCCAGGGCCGATACCTCAAAGAATAGACTGAAGAAAGAGAGGAAAAGAGGACAAAAGGGAGACTGCTGCTGATTTAAATTAAAATTGTATTTCATCTGTGCTTTTGGTCACATATGTAGCCTTGTCTTATTCTGCAGTATTTTTGCAGGGTAATACAGCGATGGACGGCGTAAAATGTCTTGAAGGAACGCTAAAACTCACAATTCCATTCAGTCACTATTGTGGCTTGGGCCACAAACCAAATCCTCAAGTGAGCCACCGGCTCCGGTAGAGGCTGCCTCAATGCCCACTAACCTTGACATTGATGCCCTAAGGGTTGAGTTGCTTCAAGAAAGATATTGCTGATACTTTTAAAAAGCCATTGCTGGAGGCTCTTGGGGATGCTTTTTCCACTATCAAGCTTGACCTTCAAGCAGTGAAGACACAGCTGCCGAATGATAAAGCTGCTTCTGAGGCTTCCGTTTTCATTTTCATGCTCAGCCCATGCCAAAAATGTAACACAATTCAATTTGAAATGTAAAATTTGCAAACTAAAATACATAATCATAAATATATCTCAATATAACTGCATTATTTTCAAATAAATAAAATTTATAATAAATCATGCAAACTGCATTTTCATTTTCTTCTTCTTTCATTTTGTTACTTCGTTAAATTGATGAAAAAGAAGTTTTGCTTTTTGGTTTTCATGCCCGCCCTCAGCAAAAAGTGTAACATAACTCAATTTGAAATTGAAATCACGGTTGAGGCAGGACACTGACGTCAGCGACCGCTCTTCTTCTGGGTTACATCTTTGGGCTCAACAGAACAAGACATGACACCTCATGGGACCATTGCATAATCCTCGTTAGAATTAGTTTCCCATGTAGAGTCACATACCATTTCTGATCGGATAACCGTGACATAGTTGAGCAGATTAAAGAGAATTTAGTTGCACACTCTGCCATCGCAAATAATGACATCAACAAAGTTACCCTAGCTAACTTCAGGAATTCGATGCTGAGGGAAAGGTCATCCCCTCTCAGAAACGTATTTGTTGAGAGGCTTCAAAGTTGCGGACATAGCTAAACTGTTTGGCGTAAGCCGCCAGACCATCCATTAAATATGAAAAGTCAGTGATTGAAGTGTAATTTAGTTTATGTATGAAAAAATAGATTAATTAAAGCAAGTGGTTTTTCGGAGTTGTATTAAACTGAGATGGATTCCAACTCAGTTCAAACAATGTTGCAAATGCGCTTTGAGAGGCTGCTGCTTTACATGAAGGACGCTGTCACAGAGTGTCATGTCTTGTTCTGTTGAGCCCAAATATGTAACCCAGACGAAACAGCAGTCGCTGAAGTCACTGTCATGCGCCGTCTGGGATTGCAAATTCAAATTGAATTAAATGACACTTTTTGCGGAGAGGGCAGGAAAATTAAAAAGCAATGTCCCCTTCTTCACCGTTTTAATTAAGTAAAAAAACTATCAGTCTTGAAAAAGAAAATGAAAATGCAAATAAAATGAAAATTTTATTTATGAGTCAGAAAATACAGCTACATTGTGAAAATGAAAAAGCATTTCTGTTCTTTTTAATTGTAATTATTAATTACTATTATTTATTTATTATTCATTCATATTAATTAATTATGGTACAGAAATGCCCCCATACATACCAATGATATCACAGAGATTTGTACTTTTTTATTTCAGATCTGCAGTTTCGCATTTTGCGCTCTCTGCATTTACCTGCACGGTACTGAAGGCCTGCTAACTCGTATTTTCGCTGCTTTTTTCTATGAAAATTATCTATGTGCACATTTGATTTGAGTTATAAAGGTGGCCATCTTTTTTAGTTTTGCTGATATTAACATTTAGGTGAAACAAACAAACCAAGTTGTTTACTGGAACATCAGTTAGACGACAGGCCACTTCACGTTTGATACCTCCTATCAAAAACACTTCAAACTCTGCTACTACAGATCCCTTGGTAATCAATTCTGCCTTTGAGTCATTTTGCAATTCGTTATATAAATCTGAATTTCCAACAGACAACTGTGAGATTGCTGAATTTCTTTTGAACCTTTAGAATCCTGTCATTGATACTGACACTGCCAGGCACCGGGACTCCCCTCTCTCCCTTGAAGAGGTATTAATTGCTGTAAAAGCTATGCAATCTAACAAAGTCACAGGCTCTGACAGATTTCCGATTGCATTTAGGAAAACAGTTATTGGTAAAATGTCAGCGCTACTTTTCTAAAAATGCTTTTGTATTTAATCAATCATCAGATGGTGGTTCTTTACCACCACCCTTGACACCCCTATATACACCGCTATACCAAAGCTCCCTCCTGTGGTATAGACCATTATTTCTGCAGAATGCTGATTCAATTCAGCATTCGACTGAGTAGAGTGGGAGTACTTGCGTTTGTTTGTTTTTAAAATTTGGATTTGGTTATATTTGGTGATGTATTTCCTGGATTCACCTTCTTTATTCATCCCCTGTGACCATTGTTCATGCTAATGATGTGTATTCTGATAATTTTGCCCTTCAACATAGATGTTGAAGGGTAGCCCTTTATCACCTCTTCTCTTTGCTATCGTTATCAATCCTTTGTCTGTTACATTAAGATTTTCCCACAATTCAAAGGAATCACTTCACACGGATCAGTTGTTCTTGTATATAATTGATGCTGCAATATATATCCCTGTTGTTTTGAATATTCTGAAAAACTTCAGCAGACAACTGTAAGATTGATGCTTTTATAACCTTTCTTTCAGGTTTTAAATTACATTTGTATTTCCATATCATTACTTATCATATTTACCTTTTTGGTTAAGTCCTTACATCTGATATTAAAAGATGGGTTAAAAATGTTATTAAAATGAATATTTTACTAAAATTAAAATTTTTATTCCAGTCAATTCCTCTGTCTTGGATACGATAATTTGTTCTTTATTTGTGGTGCAAAACCACCTATGGTCTATTAGACTTTACTGCAGAGATGTAGACTTAGCACTTTGTTTGATTTGCACTTTATTCATTTATACCCTCTCTGTATACTGATAATCAAGTGGCTCCCAACTCTCAAAATCTGGTATCAATTTAGATGTTACGTTACATTTTTCGCTGCATGTTCCTTGGTTTATATAACAATCATTTATTTCCAAATTCAATTTCAGACTTGACATCTTCAGTGTGGTATGCCAAGGATATTACACAATTCAGATATTTATACATGGATGGTGTCTTTGATAGTTTTGCCAATTTGTCATCTCACTGTGATCTCCCTGTTTATCATCTGTTTTGCAATAGGCGGTGGGCCAGAATCTGTAAGATGACTTTCCGTTTGAACGTTTTGGGGGCAACTTTCTTCCAGTTTAATTAGATACTTTGGACTTTAGTGATCTCAAAAAGCCAATGTTCCCGCTATTTCACTTGCACATTAATTAATTACGGCCAATTAAAATTTCGGTAGTTCCACATCTGGCCTATAGGTGGCTAACCTAAGAAAATATCCGTATTTTTGGTTTTAACCAAGTGATCTTTACCAAAAATACTTTAAAATCATTAAGGTTGATAATTAGAAAAGTTTCTTTTATGTAAATACTGATGGAATCAACATGGAAATGCAATTTAGACCTTTAGTTTCGCTTTTCGCTGCCAGAGGGCCACTGAACCTGAATACTACATATTTTCCACTATATACAGCCATAGCAAGACAAAATACAATAATTTAATATGCAAAACCCTTGTTTTTGGTCCAAATAATTTCTTACTAATTTAATTATTGAAAAACTGACACTTCACTTTCCATCATATTGCATTTATTAACTTAATGAGAGAAAAACAACTACTATCACAAGTAAACCTTGGTATAAAAAATGGAATAATATATCATTTTAACTCAATAAAAACTAAGGATCCATATTTATGTCCAATATAAAAATCCGAACCTGTCATATTTACAGTTATATTATTTCTATCTTAACCTTTCCTCGCGACATCATACTATTTAAATCCAAACATATCATATTTACATCATATTATTTAAATCCAGACCTCTCATTTTTATATCTTTTATATTTTCATCAAAAACTTACAACATATATGAAAAACATTACAACTCATCATCTGAGTCATCCAAGTCCTCATTATCATTTGAGTATATCCCTTCCACATCATTCTCATTTTCAATCATAGCAGGACAGTTTGCACAGTGAACACATTGGCAGAGGTCACTACATAGCAAATGACCCCTTTTGCATGAACAGATATGTGTAGCACATGCATTTGTCTTGCACTTGCAAGATATGTCCATTGTGACATCAGATGGAGCAGGGGGATTTACCATCCAACAATAGGAGAGCCCTTCATCTTCAAAGGACCAGCCATGGCCTTCTGGGTTAGGGGCGTTAATAAACTGGTCCAAACACCTTCTATAAATTGCCAGCTGGTATGCAGCTTGCTTAGAATGTTGTCAAAGACAATCCTCATTTGGTGGAAAAGATTTATCTGATTTACAGAGAAGAGAACATTTTAAACCTGGCATGATTAACCCAGTTGTTCTGTCCATACAAGTGACAGACAAATTCTTCAAGCTGAATGAACAATTTATCATCAACATCCCAATTTTTCCCAAGAATTTGAAAGCAATTAACAGCTGGCTCTGATTCAAGCATTAGCCTTAAGGCTTTAACTTTTCCTTTAAAAGGCACTTAACGTGTCACATCCAGTAAAAGCATTAAGACCAACAACAGCTCAACATTTCCTTGGACCATG